GCGGCATGGCGGGCCCTGCCGGGGGTCACCCGCTCTTCTTCACGACGGGGCGGCCTCGCGGGGCCGCCCTTTTTGCTCCAGCTGTTTTTTTTACAAACCCGTAAGGGTGGAAGGTGAAGGCTTGCTTGACCGTAAGACACTTCTCAGGGGACCGAAGTAGTCTCTTGTCCTTGGTACTTAACTCCTTCGCCCTCCCTCGCCCGTGTTTACTTTAGCTCAGGGGGAGAGGAGCAGCGTTTACTTTTCAGGTGCAATCATTTATTTGCCTCGGAGGCTTGCTCCTACCCACCTTCCCTAACACTAAGAGACACTGGTATTTTTCGTATTTCTGGCGCCAGTCTTCTCAGGGGACCGAAGTAGTCTCTTGTCCTTGGTACTTAACTCCTTCGCCCTCCCTCGCCCGTGTTTACTTTAGCTCAGGGGGAGAGGAGCAGCGTTTACTTTTCAGGTGCAATCATTTATTTGCCTCGGAGGCTTGCTCCTACCCACCTTCCCTAACACTAAGAGACACTGGTATTTTTCGTATTTCTGGCGCCAGTTTATCACACAGCTAAGGTTTGACCCCTAGGTGTTCAACCAACTTTAATTACACACAGTAGTCAATAACTGGCAAAACAAAGGTAGTCTTTCAAAAAAAACCCCAAAGAACAACCGATCACATGCAGGATGGATCATATTTAACTCTGCCTCTCCCACAGCTGTTTGAAAGAATCAGGGAAGATTAGCTAAAATGTGTATGACCCTGTTATACAATTTATTGATTCCTTTACCACATCAAATTAGAGGTAGTTGCTTTTTCTTTTGCTTTTTAACTGTGGGGAGGGCGAAGGCAGGAGTAGCAGGACATGACCTGGGACAGGGTGCACCATCAGCAAGCTCACGGGATACAAAGGGGGGAGGAGTGGCTGCCACACCCAGAGGCCGGTGCTGCCCTTCGGAGGGGCCTCACCAAGCAGGAGAATTGGTCTGACAGGAACCTCGTGAAGTTCAGCAAGGGGAAGTGCCAAGTCCTGCACCTGGGGAGGGAGAACCGCAGGCCCCTGTACATGCTGGTAGCCTACCCACAGCAAAGCTCCTCTGCAGAGCAGAGAATGGAGTCTCCAGCTGGGGAGATACTCAAAACCCAGGAGAACATGGACCTGGGCACCTGGCTGTGGGTGGCCTTGCTTGAGCAGGGCAGTGGGTTGTGAGCATAGGGCCCAGAATTCCAGAGAAGGGGGAGTGGAAGCCTGCTTCTGAAATTCCAGTTCTGTTCTCTACCCGTGATACCCTGGCTATAGCATGCAAATCTGAGATTTCTTATATGTAGAAAACAAAACAAAAAAACCCCCAAACCCTGCATTAATCTGTTGGCAAAGATTAAGGCCAATGTCTAACACCTACCTCCCATGGGTCAATACAGTAGGTTGCCTCCTCACATAGGATTAACTCCCACTTTTCAAGAAGGTGTGCCTCTGCTGCTGCCCAAACGCTAATGCTTGTGGGCAGATGACAACTACTGTACGCCCATGCAGACTGATGGTTCATACGTTAAAAAAAGCCACTAGCCACAGTTACCATAATGAGAAAACAAAACCTGGAAAGAGCAGGCTGCTTGCCACTTAAGGGTTCACACACAGAGCTATAGTTTCTTAGTTTTCTCTTAAGCATCTCATGCTTCAAATTAGTTTTCAAGTATACTGCAGAGGGCTCACAGGGAGGCAGCACGGAACAGTTTAGTATCTGTATCTTTCACATCTGTGAAGCTCTTACTTTCATACAAAAACTGCCGTGGAAGCACTCTGTAGATCAGATCCTTATGTCACTTCATAAAAAAGGCAGAAATAAGGAAGCTTATTTTCAGACCTTATAGTTTATGTACTGTATCTTACCTTAGAAATAAGGGTGTGAAATAAAGGGGAGAAACAGAAGTACCAGCAGTGTGTTGATTTTTTCCCCCCCAAATGCTTCCACTGAAAGCTCATCTGCCATTTTATTGCACTAGACCATGATTCTGATTTCATAAAAATCAGGAAACATTCAGCACTTTACTCTTGCAGAACACATTCTTCTGTGGCAGGAATAGAGTTACACAGTGTCCCGATTTTGGCTGGGATAGAGTTAATTTTCTTCCTGGTAGCAGGTACAGTGCTGTGGTTTGGATTCAGTATGAGAATAATGTTGATAACACACTGATGTTTGAGTTGTTGCGAAGTAGTCCTTACACTAAGTCAAGGACTTTCGAGTTTCTCATGCTCTACCAACTGAGAGTTGGAGATGCACAAGCTGGGAGGAGGCACAGTCAGGACAGCTGACCCACACTGGCCAAAGGGATATTCCATACCATATGATGTCATGCTCAGTATATAAACTAGAGGAAAGCTGGCCAGTGGGACCACTGCTCAGGGAGTGGCTGCACATCACTCAGCAGGTGGTGAGCAACTGCATCATTCATCACTTGCTTTGTATATTCTTTTATTAGCTGGGGTTAAACCAGGACAGTCCTTTTTGGTGCCTTTTGGGGGTGTGAGATAATATGGGCAAGTACCTAGAACAGTGGGCACCTCTCGTGTTTTCAAACTTCACCCCCAAACAAGCACAGAATATCCTGAAAAAACAAGTAAAATACTTGGGAAAAGTATGCTGTCACCCTGGCAATTCCAGGGAGACACAAATCACTGCAACATGGTGGGGCATGGCCCATGCTCACCAAGCCTCATTCAACCCTACTCAGAACCTCAAGACAGTCTCTGGATCTAACAGCAAAACAACAGGCACTGCGGCCAAACCAGAGAACCAACCCATGCCAGTATCAGTTGCCCCTATACACATGAAGAAATCTTGGAAGCGCAAGTCAGCTCGTTTAGTAACAGAGGCTGAAAAAGCAGGGCCATCACAAGAGGAGGAAGAACTTATGAGACTGTAACCACCCGATCCCTATGCCCAAGTGAGCTGCAAGGTATGCAAAAGGATTTCGGCCATCATCCAGGTGAGCACATAATCATCACCTGGCTGCTCTGATGCTGGGATAACAGGGCCAGTAGCCTGGAACTAGAGGGTAAGGAAGCCAAGCAGCTGGGATCCCTTTCTAGGGGAGGGGGCATTGACAAAGCAACTGGAAGAAAAGGGGCACAAGTCCTCAGCCTCTGGAGGTGACTCCTGTCAGCCATGGAGGAAAAGTATTCCTTTGAGGAAGATGTTATATGTCACCCAGGCAAGTGGACCACCATGGAGAGAGGTATCCAGTACCTGGGAGAATTAGCTGTGCTGGAGGTGATTTATGATGACCTGGACAAACCATTATCCAAAGATCCAGATGAAGTTCAGCCTACACAACCCACATGGCAGAAATTTGTAGAGTGCACCATCATCATATGCCAATTCCTTGGCAATACTGACCTGGAAAGATGGAGAGGAACAGACAGTGGATGAATTGGCTGGCCAATTCTGGCAATATGAAGAAAATCTCTCTTCCACCCTCAACTTGGCTGTGGAGAGACTGTCCCAGGAGGTCCAGCAACCCCAAGAGGATAGGTCTCCTCTGTATGGACCGGTATATCCACAGAGGATATAAGGGGTATGCACCACAGGGTACCCTGTGGTTTTACCTGCACAACCACGGAGGCCACACAGAAACATCCGTAACATGTTCGTGTTACGTACCTTGTGATGGCCATTAACACCCACACCAGTGTTCAACAGATACTGTTTAACAGTCCTGAACAAATCAGATTTCTCATATATAACATTTAATGAAAGACATAAATAAAATCCAATTCTTGTTTTAAAAATTAAATTGTTACTGTTTAACAGTCCTGAACAAATCAGATTTTCATATATAATGTTTAATGAAAGACAAATAAAATCCAATTCTTGTTTTAAAAATTAAATATTGTAATAAAGATATTTTCTTAAATCAGACTTGCATTTCAAATAAAATCTCAGCTACAACGACCAATAAATACAGAGCTGCAAAGCAGAAAATTAAGGCAGTTTCAATAAGGTATTGCTTCTTACAGCTGCAAAACTGTTGTCTCAACCTGAAGGTTCCTAACTTTTGAAAACATTTCTATACTTTAAATTCCTCACATGAACTACAATGCTAAAACACATGAAGAGAGGTCTGGTTTTAAATCTGTGGGTCCAACATCTCTTTTAGAAGTAAAACTGTTATGGCACTGTGATAACGTCAATGTAAAATACGCTTTCCACTCCTCAAGGATGATGAAGTACACACTAGTCTTACACAGTCTCATTTGGGCTACCAGACCTATAGGATGAGTCAAGCAGCAATACCATGTGTCAGTTTGTCTTGTGGCAGCTTCAAGCAAGCCTGTGGGCACCGCTAGCTTCTGAGAGGCAATCTCACACCTCAGTAAGCACCAGTGCCAGCAGTGCCTCGCCTACCCTGGTAGGCTGCAGTTCAGCGTGCTTTATTGCTGTGGGTCCATCAGTCCCTTCCAGGTGTAACGATTGTGTCTCAAGAAAGTTTATCACAGCAGCTCTTTTCACATAGTCTGAAGCTGATAAACTCTTGAACCTTTTTTCAAAAGATAACCCTGATCATTCAGGGATCCAATAAAGCTTTCAAAATCAGATACCTAGGAGGGGAAAAAAAAGGAAAGACAAAAGCCAAATATCAAATTTAAAGAATGGCATTTTATCTGATGTAAAGCAACAAACAGTTTGAAAGAACTTAGTGAAATAAAGTGAGCTAAGAATAGGTTAGTTTCTTTAGCAAACAGCTGACCTACTAGGTGGTGACATACAGTCGAGTTGCACCCTTTTGTGCTTTACTTACTTTATGGCATGCAGAAAATATAGTATACATATACAGAGTAATGTATACTGTAATGTAATGTAAATATATATATATACAGAGTAACCTATGTATAAGTCTAAGTCGTAATGTATACTGTAATGTCATGTAAATATATACAGAGTAACCTATGTATAAGTCTAAGTTCTGAAACACAAGTATCTACCAAAGAAAAGTCTGGTTTCTACAGCAAATACTGATTTCCAGGTATTTGTTACAGGTCTAGAACTTTGAATGGGAAAAAATATTCTATAAAGGGAAAATGAGAATTAATTGAATTATATATAGGTAACTAGTCACTGAATGAATGATCATGTGAGAAGAGAGCTAGCAGTAACATGTTCTGTCAGACAGGATTATGCACAGTCAACATTTGAACAAGTTTGGAGACTGGAGCTATCTCACCCCAGCAGGGCAAAGTAGGTTAACCAGGAAACAGAAAGAATAGTATTATTGCCCATAGTAAGTTGAATAAAGATAAATTAATTGTCACTGCTTTTTAGTTAGTATACCTGCAATCCAGTTTTAAGTTTTAAATCGGCATTTAAACCTTTTTATCATGAAGCAAAGAGTAGAATTAGCTGAATATTTTTGTTTGGCTGAAGTCCCCTACAAGTATAGAATGCAAATCAATTACAGAATAAAACACATTTGTGACCATCTGTCCTACATGGTGTTCCTATCAAGTTACAACACTGGGACACTTGAAGTAGGAATGAAAACCCCAAAGGCATATTTGGGCCAGTGAAAGCCAAGCAGAAATGTCAGTGCACTGCTGAAATAGAACATGGACACCACAGCAGCCTAAATTTGGGAGCAAAGATAGGTGAATCCCCTGGGGAGTCAGAGTAAAGTATACTGAAACCAAAATTGCCTTTCATGAAACAAAGCAGAATCTTAAGGGACAGCTTCAAAAGTAGAACCAATGCCTACTAGTGCAAGGAGTTGTTACTGTCAAACAGCTAGTAAGATTAGTAAAGCTTACAAACAAAGGCAATTCAGGAGGAGTGTTCAGCCTAGAAGTGGCAAACACTGCTTATTTCTGTTCATTGCAGAGAGGCACAACAGATGCACCTTTTCCACTTTCCATTTTGCACTAAGTAGTTTCGACTGGTCTTGCAGTTTGTTGTTGAAGAAATGCTTCATTTCCAAACTTACTCGTATTTGTAGCTCCTTCGCAATCTGTCGAAGCTGTTGCAAGTCAAAGAGATTGTTGTAAGTTCTCTCTGCAATACTGTTAAGGGCAGAAACAAATCTTTTTGCTTGTGACCGATTGCTCATCCCAGACCCATGCTGCGAACGTTCAAAGTCCAGTTTTCCAAACTCATCGGAGTAGGTTCCCAGCATGCTAAAAATATATATAAAAAGATCAACAAGAGGCAAAAGCAAGAGTGTATTATTTTGCTTCCTGAAACATAACTGCTTGAGAAAGCTTTCAGAAGCCACATAGAGAACCATTCCCCTAATAAGTCACTGCCTAGGGAACCTAAACTGAGCACCTGTCCAAACTTTTGAACTTAACTGCAACAACAGAGTAATTGCACAAGAGAAAAACCTTTGGCAGGGCCTCATGTCTAAGTTACTGTGCACTGGTATACATAACTGCTATGATGATACAACTCAAAGGCCTAAGCAATTGTATCCAGTTTAGGGCTGCTGTCAGTTTTTAAAGAATAGCTAACATCTCAATATCAGTATCAATGGGCCTAAACTTGATAAAGTAATTTCTTCTCTATGTTTGTGTATTTGTATTTTAAAAAAGTTTTGAATGAATAGCACTGTAATGCTTGATTTTTAAAGCAGTGTATATTACCTATATTTCATTATTTCTATTACATCCTCAGCATCTTCCTTGGTAGATTTCTCCCTTAATTCCAGCCTCGATCGTGCCTTAAAATAAAACAAAACAACCCCACAAAGTTATATTTAAGATGCTATATGTGAAAGATGTGAAAAAGCCTACATCACCCTACAACAGGCACAAATTTTAGGAGCAGAGATGGAACCTGAGCCTACAGGATTTAGAGAAAGGTTCCTCTATTTTTTCAATAGTGTTTCAACGTAATCTCCTGCATACTTGCATTATGAGGCTGTAGCTTCCACTGCTTTTTAACAGCTTATTCTTCAGAAGAGGCAGATTACAGGTAGTGTTATTAAGGCATAGTGTTAGGGAAAACAGTAGCAGTTTAAGTTCAAGATGGGCAACAGCTTGTCTCTGCCTGCACCATTCTCTCCTTTGGGGAGAATGTGATAAATTCTCTTTCCACCCACTCAAGGGTGCTTTACTTTATAAGAGGCTTTAAGCAACAGTAGCTCTTAAGCATTTGTAAGTCTCTTAAATTCTCACTTTTTTTTTCCTTTTTAAACACAACAAAAAAAAACATAGCTGTGAAGAAGCTATCAAAAATTATAGGATATCAGATTAGGAATAATCTCTTTGCTTTCAAATCCCTTAAGTATTACAGCTTGCATTTACCTCCGTAAGTCGAATCAGTGACTCTAGCTGCCTCGTGGTGATTGGTGTGCTGTCTACTCCTTGGTTCTGTTTCCGGAGCTCGAGGTAGAATTCCTGGAGGACCTGAGCAGCTTCTGGAGATAAATTTGGGTGAACGTACTGCCGAGCATATCCGACATACTTCCTCAGCAGCTGATGTGGAATGGCATCAAAGTTTTCTCCTGGTAAGATCTAACCCAATTACAAAGGGCTTAGATTTTTGTCTGTCAGAACCCTACACAATAAATTTTTGACATAAAATCTTCATCTTCCATGCTTTATCTGGTGAAATCTTCACTGTAACGGCTTTAGTGCTTTGTATATCAACTGTGTACTTCAGAAGTCCATATACTATGGTTAGACATCTAATTAAACACACTCGGCCATTTCAGAAAAAGCAGCTGAAGCTTCTCATTTGCAATGACAAAAAGTGCCAAATACGATTAAACTGTATCATGAATTCTTTCTCAAAAAGAGAAAACCCAATTTCCCAATTGTTAATGTATCTCCAGAGAAGATTAAACCATCACCACTGACATCCCATTTCCAAAAGTGCATGCATTTAGCTCCAGTAGGGGATATTCCTCCCAAGACCTGGCATTTATTTGACAATATGATCAAACTGATCACTTGAATTCAATAAGAAATATGCTTCCTCTCCTATAATCCCCAAAGCCATCATGAATTGCAGTTGCCTAAGGACTTGTTTACACACTGCTTTATTTGGATTCAATACTTCACAGCACATCATGTTATATCAAATTATTATATCCAGTCTAGTTCTGTAGCTCTTTATTGAAATCTAACACAGCAAACTTGCTTTAGAGCATCCCATGCAAAGTGTCTTCTCACTACTGCAACCAAAAAAACACAGCTCAGCTACAAATTCTCTTCTGTGTGGAGACTAAGATGGCTTTAGACACATCTTTAGCAGCTCCAACAGGGTGCGTAATATTAGCTACAGCAGACAACTGGCAGAACTGGTGGCTGGAGTCTTAAATGCTTCGTCTCATTCAGAGCCAATTACCATGAGAAGAATGTGAGTCGGAGACTGAGGACAGCCAGCAGCTCAGGATTGCCAGGTCCCAATGCAAGGAACACCACAGGACGGGGTACAGCAACAGTCACAGGACAAGTCCTACCTTTAGTCTTTCAAGCAGCGGTCGATCTGAAACGACTTCAAGAACAGAGCGATTCTGTGTGTTGGTACGAGTCACAACAGCGCTGCTGCATGCTGCCTGCTTTCCAGCTCGGATTGCCATTACATGCTCAGACAGCAAGTGATCATGATCTTCATTTGGGGTGTCCAGTAAAATGAAAACTAAATCAAATCTCGACAGTAAAGCACTCCCCATTCTAGAGTAAAGACAAGAAAACCACACTGCTTATAAAGTAGAAAAATTACAGCAACTCTGCTCCACTTCAAAGACACTTCAAAAATGCTGTCCCATTCATTCAGAATAAAGTAGAACAGCAATTTATCTCTCAAAAGCCATGAAAATCATTACAGTAAGCATGTGTTCAAGTTTCAGGAAACTAGAAAGTTTACATACAAACAACAAGACTGCTAGAAGCACCTACTCCTGAGTGTGAACTATATAAGCTGCATTTCAGCAAGTGCTCACTTTAAGTTCTCAGACACCGTTTTGGCTTTGTTATAATGTCCTCCGACTGGGTTTGCTGCAGCAACAATAGACGTCCGAGCTGGCAAACTGCAAACAATACCAGCCTTGGCAAGGCTGATACTTTGCTGTTCCATGGCTTCCAACAAAGCCTGATGCTGGTTTCCCATCTTATCAAATTCATCTATTCCACAAATACCTGGAAGCAATTAACACAAGACAAAGACTTACTAGAAAACACATTACACTGATGGACAAGTGTGTGCTACAGTCCAGTGCTGACTGAACAATCTGATAGATTGTATGCTGCAATCCATCAGAAGTTCAACCTAATGTCTTAGGGACTGCAGGAGACATTGGACCAAGTCTCCATTTCAGCAAGGTTTGTTTTCATTTCATGCTGCTGCAGCTGAACCATTATGAAGTTGGCCTGGCTCACAGCAGCAGTGTCTTGATCACATATTAAGATGACAAAACAAACTTTAAAAATAGAAATAGATGAAAAATCTATTTTTCAAAATAGCCAGCTATTTTTCAAAAACAATAAGAATCCAGTAGCTGCCATTAAGTCAGAGATTTCTCAATAAGGAAATCCTAGTTAACACATTAAGAAAGGCTGGTGTGTGAATTGCAGAACTGCAGTTTCCTACATACCTTAAGCCCTAGGAAAGCAAGAACCAACTCCAAAGAAGTCACTGGAGAAGCTCAGAACTTCCCAAGATGTGGAAAGCCAATATCATACTTCAAATTTACATCTTCATTCCACAATTATGCAAGCACCATAGTTAACCTTAGACTCAGCAGCACACACTCCCTCCACATTCGTTCATATAAAATCTGTAGCATTACAAGTATTACCTTGATCTCCCAGCACTAAAGCACCAGCTTCCAAGGCAAAATCTCCAGAAGCGCCATCTCTAGACAGTGTAACAGTCAGGCCAGAGCTGGTGGAAGTATTACCACAAACATACACACCTCGAGGAGCAACATTACACACTGCCTAGAAGAGAAAGAAATACTTTTTCCCTCCCCAAGGTGAAGAATTTGATAAGCCTTATTCTAGAAAAACAATTCAAAGAAAATCCAGATTTATTTATTTCTACTTAACATGTCCTGACAGTAAAGTTATAACTCCTTGCAACCCCAAGAGGCATACTTCCACAGAAGTGTAGAAATAACTGTGATAACAATATTTGTGCACAGTCATTCTACATGTTATCAAAACTACTAGGACTTTGGGCACAACATTTATGTTTCAAAGTATATCGAAATGCTTGGAGACATGCTGTACACCATGGAATTGCAGATATATCATTTCTCTATCTTCAGACCCCCAGGTCTATTTATACTAACATCTTGGCTGAGTGCCCAACACAAGCTGCTTCAAAGGAAGCAAGCATAGTTCTCCCCACAACTAGGGGATGAAGGGCAGTCCTAGTCTTGTCCATGCCTCTGGTATCCGGCAAGCAGCTTACAATTTGAAATACGAACTAGAAAAGCAAAGCATGATAAGCTTGAAGAAATTCTACATACACTGGCAAAACACAGACATGTTGCAGTTAAATTTGCCTAGAATACAGATACCATAACTGGATTTCCCCAGTAAATCCTTATAGTCACTGGTGCCCCTATTTTATTTAAAAATAACAGCCAAACCATATTTGTTCAGTACCAGATGTGACAAGCACTGAGTACTGAATAAAAACCCAAACAAAAAAACCTGGCTCCTACACAACTTTGGTTTTCTCTTTGGGATTACTTTTTCTGTGACAGTGATGACTGAGAGGAACCTTGTCTCAGGGTCTTATCTGAGGAACAAATTAATTACTTTTCTTGAATGGCATTGCATTGTTTAGTAATGATTTGAAAAAAACCAAATCATCTACTGTATGCCAGAGTGCCTATTCAGTAAAAAAATACTTTAAAAATTTGTTTGCCAAGATGCTTGCATACAAATCCATCACTCTGGTTAAGTTATTGCAAGTCATATGCTAACATAACATGCCCACATTAGAAAGACTCTGACTTTTTAAGTGAGGTATGCAATGCTGTAGGTCTAGATGAACTCTGTCCCTCTTTCACTTCACACTAACCACGGGAAAAGACATGGATCTTTAAAACAATTCAGTTCAAGATTAAAAGATACTATTACTAACTGATTTTGTCACAGTCATGCAGAAATGCCCACCAAGATTAAAATCCAAACACAGCAGCAGTTCTCTTTCCCAAAAAGCCAAGATCTGTGCTAGCAGCATAGAAATAGGGTAAGAGATTGGAAGTAAACATCACAGAAGATTAGTGACATGATATTCAAAGTTGCACTAGTTCCAAGAGTGTACTTATTTGTCAATGGATAAGCTAAATGAAGACAGGAAGGAGTGAAACTCCTCACCAGGGAAAAGGTTTGGTGAAAAAAACCCAAATATGTAAGGGCAGAACAGTAAGCCTGTACTTGGAAAGCTCACAGGCTTGACCAAATATACCTGCTTTGGTAAGTGTTTTAGCAGGCCTGATCCCTTCCGCAAGGCTCCCTGGAAGGAGAGGACAGCAGGGGACCCCTTTGGGTATTATCCTATATTTGGGTGCTATCCTACATTAAAAGATAGTTCCAGCCAGGCTCAAGCAACCCTTTGGTCTTAGCACAACTATCCTACCATGCTTACAAGAAGTCAAGATAGCAAGGAATTAGAATACAATCAGACAATAGAAATAAGTCAAACCATACTTGCAACATTTGACTTTTTCCTAATCCTGGATCTCCAACGACCAGAACATGTGGATCTCCTCGCACTGGGATTCTGTTCTTGTCATCTACAAATTTCTGACATCCTCCAAATAATGCCAGGGCCAAACCTGCCTTTACAATCTGTAGTGGTACATACCAACACTTTAGTATTTGAACGTGGTGACCAATACTGACAGCTCCCTAGAACTGGCTGTAATAACCCTTTCCTTCTGGATGGCTGAACTTAAGGGTGTATAAGACTGCCACCTCCTTGTCACTGAAAGTGACCGTGAATCAGTCACCTATATATACAGTCCCTGCCCCCTTCCCCCCCGCCCCAAAGAAGCTTTATAAATCCTTTAGGAGTTTACTGTGGCATAAACATTTCAAACTCAAGTTGCAAGCAGAGCTATTAAATTACTTACCTCATGGCCATAGATTGCAGGACAAAGAGAGCTGAAAAACAAAGAGCACTGTAACATGAGAGGAATACAAATCTTGTATTACTATTAAGTAATCAGTCATTCTGTCTCTCTTGTCATGGAATACCTCTATACCTATATAAAACTTTGTTAGCTGTTGCTGAATTTCCAATAGAATTAGTTTACATTAGCAGCATCAAATTTCTTGAAATTTTCAGATAACCAGATATGTTTGAAATAAGAAAAGCCTTTCATCCAAGTTCAAACACAGAGGAGAACCAATTTTCCAGTGGTTTCTGCTTATCTTAATCAGGTAACTACCTGCAACCCTCCTTTTAAAGGTGCTAGTTTCGTGTTCTTTGATCCACTGGGAGGACCCAAGGGACACTCCAGCTAGAGACATACTCCTCGGTCAGAACTCACTGTCTTTCACACCCTCTGCTCAATTCTCACACCTCTGCTCTGCTGTAGAAAAGCAGAGCAGAGAACAAACCAGGACTTGTGGGTTGAATCTTCTCAGTGAGGAGTAAAATTAACTAGTTTTTTTTTACCTGTGGCTTTCTGTCTCAGGGCTGAACTGAAACACTCCTAACTTCCTTGTATCCCTAAATCCCTCCCAGAGTCCTAACGCCCCCACTGCAATACTTTCGCTTCTTCCCAAGCCCCTTGCCCACTAATATTTTTTAAATCTATTGCACAAGCCTTAGACATTTCAGAGCTTTAAGATTAGCTGTCACGTTTGCCTGAAATTGGTCAAGCTGTTTCAGAATTCTAGTCCTAGACCTAGTCTAGGTCTGACACAACTTACTTCACAATGAGCCTGAACAGATTTTCCTCAGCTTGAATTTCTTGAACAGCATAGAGGTCTTTAAGTGAAAACTCCATGAAAGATCTTTGAAAAGTCTCATCATCAAAATTCTTTGTTTTTTGTCCTTTACTGTTGCTGACAGAATTTGCCTCAATGTACAACAAGAAGATACACTTGTCGTTCTTATTTTTAGAAGCTCCTGTTAGAAAAATTGAGAAAGGATGAAGGAATACTTTTTATATCATTAAATACTGGTATTATTTAAAAATGGCATAGGATAATTAAGAAATATTAAGTGCAGTCATGTGCAAAGTGTTCATATTTAGGTAATTGAACATCCACATTTTCAAAAACTGATGCAAAGTAAGTTTCTCATGGCATTTGTTCTTTAAGTTACCTCCATTTAGGTACACAATAAAATATTTTGCTGAATTAGAGGGTATGTGTGTACATAGAGGATTTTCTCCCAGAATAAACGAGGTTTTCCAGGAATTTTAAATTATTATGTTACTCTAGTCAAATACAAGTTGAATATTAAATGTTTCCACTCAATATTTAGAGGAACAAAATCCATAGTGCAGAAGAATTAAACATGCAGCTTGATAATTAATCATTTTCTCTATCTCCCAATGATTACTAAGCAGAGAATGTGGTCTCGCGGTAAATCAGTACTTCAGTTCTCCACAATATATTCTATTACAACCTCACTTGGGGGGGATAAAAAAAAAAAGAAAAAAGAAGTCTCTCAGAGACACTTTAGGAAATAAGGATGTCCCCCTTACATTAGAGGTCCAGAGAAGGCTTTCCTATGAGTTGACATACTAAACCGTCAGATGTCAGACTGGCATTTAAGATTCAGGAGCATCGTTGCGTATAGACCAGCAGGTTGCAAAACCCCCTATCAGTGGACATTAAAGACAGTGCTCCTCTTGGACAGGACTGCTTCTGGCTTTTTCAAAATAACTCCTCATAACAAAACTTTGGGAATTTCTGAAGAAATATACACTCAATCCATTTACAACTGAGAGCTCACATTAAGGGGGATTGCTGTTGTTCCTGTGCAATCACTAGAAAAATCCACACCCTAGGAAAAAGGTATTCTCAGATGATGTATTTTACCTTCCTCAGTGCTCGACACCTTTACTATCCCTGTAACTGTGACCATATCTCCTGGGACACAGCTGTCTACAAGATCTTGAACCAGTTCACATTCGATTGTGCGAGGGATTCGGCCTGCTTCTCGCTGATCATCTGACATGAGCTCCTGCACCCTGCAAAACACAAGGTGAGTGTAGGCTCTGTGCATAACATTTCCAATTCAATTTGGCATACAAGATCTGCAGCTGTGTCCTTCCAATCCATACTTTCCAAACTGAAAAGGGAGACAGCAGAAATGCCCTCAAACACTAGAAACAGCAGTGCTGAATTTGGAGAAACACTTTTTCAGTTCAGACTAATAAATTTGTATGTATATACACATAAAACCCAGAAACACAGTAACTATGAACTCCAGAAATAATGATCAATGTTGAAATTCAGATCTTCTAGAACTGATGAGCATGCTTATGTAGAAATAAGTACAGTACGTGAAATAAGATGGACCTCATATACGAAAATTAAGAGGCCAGACATTGTAGCCCTGATGAGTGCTTAATTGGCATTTTAACCCTAACAAAGCCCAAGAAATTCCTCAGACCATAACTAGAACAGTAGCTCACTCTTTGTATAGTTGTAAAAGGCTAGCAACTAACAAGGTTCCAGTTTTGGCTCTGCATGAGCTCTGATAGTTTCCTTGAAGCTCAGAGTCAAGCTTTTCTTAAGAAGCTGCAATAAACAGCACCCTCTAGAGCTGCTGACAAGAATGTCAGTGCTATTTTTAATGAATTTTTTAATGACTTTTGTTACAGGACATCAGTTAACAAAACTTATTTAGATGTCATTTGGAACAATAAAACTTCTGATAAAAAGCACATGAACTTACAGAATCTGCATGTAAGAGGGAAAAAGTAAGCAGAATTCTGTTTTTTCCAAGCTTACACCCTTACTGTGGTAAGCTAATAGGATGGACAAGAAACAACACATCAAACTCTTCTGAATGTATATTATGGGGCAATAGTAGGATGGTCATAGTGCTAACAGCACATAGTAGGATGGAAGCAATGAAAACAGAACTACCATCCTCCTTCCTACACTTTAACATTGTTAATTTCTCTAGAAATAGTAACTTATCCCCCCCTCCCATACCAAAGGTCTCACAAATTTTAGGCATACCTACTTGCTGATTAGACATAGGAAGTATATGAATGGGCAGGCAGAGCACTATTTCCTTCTACTGAGTATACCTTAAGGACTGGGGAACACAATCAATATGACTTCAAAAGAAGCTTTAACCCTCAGATTTACTTTCAGTTCATTGAAGTCAACTGTCACAGCTGACCAATGCAATTCAATAGGGCTTTTCTAGTTGACTTACAGCTCATTAAAAGGAATCATTAAATAATAGATGCAACTACAAACCATCAAGAAAACCTGCAAAGAGCACAAACTGAACATTTCTCAAATAACTCAGTCATGGTAGGAGGAATTTCCAAGAAGCTATTATATTGAGTAGGATTTAATATACAAAGTATGCTAGTGCTCAGATAAAACAACTACTTTGTAATACAAATTTTGAAGAGTGCTTGCTGCAAAAGAATAAGATTATTAAAATTATACAGTGTAATATGGAATGAGCCATCCTGTCACTTTTTGATTACTCTGCTGCATTACATTTTTGTGCAGAAGGGAAGAGATGCTTACTTAACTGACTGCCAGTCCACTGTAGTGGTTAAAGGAGAGCTTCTGTCAGCTGTGAAGGACCGGCCACGGCACTCAGGAACAAGGCACTGTAACAGTAGTTCTAATTAATTGTCAACATTTTTTTTAAATCATGATTTGAAATTGCCTTATTTGGTTAAAAAAAGAAAGCAAAGCAATTAATTAACACCATTTCAGGAAAAAACTAGTTAAATTAGGACTACAAATTAGCACATACATAATTAATGAAGAGCTATCAAGCACAGACACCTGAACCCTGACTCATAGTTGTTAGAGCAAATACAGCTGAATTGCATGATCCCCTTGGTGAACTGGTTTGAGTTTTTGGGTATTGAGGGGGAGGTGGTGTATGTTTTTTGTGGGGGTTCTGTTTGTTGGGGTTTGGTTTTCATTTTTTGTTTGCTTTTTAAATAATTGCAGATGTTCCAAAGGAGATAATTTTTTCACTTGAGCACACCAAGTAACATAAAATAACTGGGTATTTTCCTATGTCTAATGACTTTTTAAATCCAGATAAAACCCAGTGAAACTAAGTAGAACGTTCTAAACAAAACCTACAAAATCCCCCGATCTAAGCATAGAAAGCCACTGCAGTGAAGTGGAGGCTTTTTAAACATAACTGGTGAAATGAAAATGAAAAGAGATTATTTTTTTCCTAGATTTGAG